GTATATCCCAAGGGTAAAACTCACCCTCAGTCTGTGTAATGTTAGTCCCTACCTGAGAACCTTTTCCCTTTCCCCTGTCCCATCGGCTGTAACATCCCTGTGTTTCCTGATCACCCCCGCCCCCGAGTATGAGATAAGACCCAGGGCATTTTGGTCTTTTTCTTGCCCCGGATGGATGACATGCAATAAAACCAGGACTATTCCAGCAAGTTTGGGCCTCCGGTGTCTAGATACTTTTAGTCCCTGTTGTATCCACTCCAGGAACTCTCCCCTGCCCACCCGTGTTCCTTGAAGGGCAGGACTCTCACCACAGGGTGTAAAACAGAGGGGTCCCCACTCTGGGAGAGGATTGCAACAGTATATCTCTGTCCAGGAGAAAGTCTGTGAGAGACAGTTACATGATTGAACAAGCTAGATTTTTCTCTTGTATGCAAATAATTTTTTTCCCTTTAATGAAAACTTCTTTTCCTGTGATCCTAGATAAGTCTTGGAATTCATTAGTAAGTTCTCTGTGTTTTCTCAGTGATCATCATTAGTCCTCTGTAAAAACTGAAGGTGGGTTTGGTTGTTCCTTTTTTCTTTACAGATCATACCTCTCATAAGGGGTCTTGAATTTCATTTTCACACATCTTTGTCGTAACAACAACTTTTCTAACATATAATTTTTTTACCACATCAGGCTTACCCTTGTACACTAAGTTCATGTTACCTAAGTATCACACCCCTCACCTAAAGTTTTCTCCTAAAAACCTGATTAACTGCATTCCAACCTATATATCATGTTATCTTTCTATCCAGACCAAACTGAATCTATTTCTAACTTCTCCTGACTTCAAGGCATACAGGGTTCTGGGTACAGCTCTACTGAGAACTGATCACACTGGATACCTGATGGCATGAGAGAAGCTCTAAAATGAAACTAACTTGTGATTTAAGCAATTTTCATAAGAAGTCAAGCAAACCCAATGTAATCCTAAGGAATGAGAGAGGAAGGAAAGCCACCTATGTCAAACTTAATCCACACTTTCACCAAGGACTAAGGTGGTTAAGTTCTAAAAAGCCATACTGGACCAGAAGGTCCCTTTTCAGGTTAGGGCATACTGCTGCATGTCTCCAGCAGAGCAAAGAGCATAGTGAAAACAAAATGAAGGAAAAAGAAGCTGATTTGCCAGTAAATTAGATTATCTTCAGATGTGTTTTTTTTTTCTCTATGCAGATTCACACTTGTTCAATCTTCCCCTTGTGCATTAAGTTCCATTAGAAATGGTGAATGGGCCCATGGATGGGCTTATCCAAGGTTTACCATGCTTGACAGGAAAGGGAACTACCCTGTGCCTGTAGAAATAGGTAAGGCATAAACACACTTGGGAAAAAAAACATTCATAATGTGAACATGTATACAGACAACTTATCCATAATACTTCTCAACTTCTGATGATTTTTCTTACCTGTAGATAATGTGAATTGTTTTGTATAAAAATAAAATTTAAATGTAAGAGAAAAATGCTATTAATGCTATTAAGTTTAATTGTACTACATTTATTAACATTTTACAGATAGCTCATTTAAGCCCTGTTAATTCTATGGGACTTAATTCTGAATTTTCAATAGGATGAAAGTCTTACTTCTTGACTAAGCTTAAAATACAAACCCACACTTTTAAAAATTTACCAAGGTGAATAAAATGTATTCCTCTTGGAGTATTCTCCTAAAACACAATGTGTGCTTTGACACATTTCCCATTAATGCTCTAGGCCATTTCATGTTTATAGAATCAAGTAGTTGTTGTAAAACCCTTCTGTGACTAATAATATTTGTAACATGTTACACATTACATGGATGTAAAATTCTGACTAGATTTCTGGTATTTTGCCAGATTTTGGTAGTAACTTATCCTGGATATTGAACCATGACTGGTTCTTAATAAATAAAAAATTGAATAAAAGGAGAAATACAAATTGCTCAGTTGTTTGCTAAGTGCTTCTCCCAAGTTTAAAGTATACACCTTAGATAATGTGCTGACTGAATTCCTGAGGACAGCAACACTTCAGGAGAGGCGAGGGAAAGGATAAGTTTTGGGCCTGACAGTGAGACCAATCAGAATGCATCAGCTCTGCCAAAAACAAGTCACCTTAAGAAGTCAACCTAACCAAAATCTGGAAATTCAAATGGGACAGCACAATGAAGAGAAACTAACTTTGGCTTCTCAGAAATCCTATTTATAACAATAACTTCAGAGTTCTACTCAGTTTCTACCTTCTACAGAGAAAAATACGGCCTTCTTCAACAAGAAATCAAAGGTTGGGTTTATCTTCTGTCATATAGAAAAGCATCTGTCTGCTCAAATTTTCTTGTAAAACTTTGTATATCTCACAATCACACAGTTAAAGAAAACTATTTCAGGCTAAAATGTTTGGGGGTTTTTTTTGTCAGTTCCTGAAAAATTCTGTCACTGGTGATTTTATATTATTATTTTATATTTTTATATTCCTGTGTAATGCCTGAAGCACTTAGACCACTACCCTGTTCTGCAGTAATTCTATGCCAACAAGTACTCTCAACAGTTAGCTACTGTTAATCCATTTTATGTATCCTCTATTGATACCATATTGTGTTATTTTAAATAAAAATATGAAGCACTAAATCAAATACATAAATCTCTACAATCACTCTCAACAGGCTTGTAATGGCCATAAATGATTACATCAGGGCTGTCTGAAAAAAAACTTGTTTTTCATAAAATCATTTGCACCCTACGAATTATACTCACTGTTAGTTCTTCAGCAACAGAACAACATTTATGCCTCACTGCTGTTCCACTGAAGGTGGATTTCAAGCTATGTGACCAAGAGTCACCTATTTGGTTTTTGAAGACTAGATCTCATTAGCAGTGTTTTAGTACAGTAGCATATGCCCAGCTATCCCAAAATGAATACCATGTCCTCACCACTAATTCTTGTTCGTTTGTAGGGTGGAAGCCATCCAACCTACTCATGCTACATGAGTATTCTTAGCAGACATTGCTTAATATGCTCCTCACTTAGTAGACTGGAAAGTACCCCATCGTTCTCACATGACATGATTACATGACTTGCTTCTTTGTAAATACAGAAGAGGAACTGAATTAAAAATTGTCTTGGTTATCATTTGCCATATTAGCATTTCCATCTACTGAAGAGTCTGTAACACAAATGGTATTTATTTGTACTTAACACATTAAGCTATACATATTATTTGCTATAATTCTTTCATTTTTTATTTTTTTTTTTGCCTCAACAGTCTCAGCCTTCTTTATTTTTAGCACTTTTTATTTATTTAAATTTTGAACACTTTACAGTTCCTCATTTTATAACTATTTTCTACTTCTGGCCACACTTCTGTTTTGTTTATTTTTAATTGCTGTTTTTACTGGAAGCAGATTGGTTCTTAGAATTTTTCACAAAGATTTTTAAGTTGCGAAATTGTGGGATTTTGGCCAATTGAATCTCAAAGACATAAAACTTTTCATTCACAATTTTTTTTCCCCAATAATTTTGCTCCTTTGTTCTCTTAACACTGAGATTTTAAACCTTTTCCATTCATCAGAAGTATGAAGCAAGCAAGTATTGGTTGAATCTATTCTCTGTTGATCAATACTGAGCAAAATTAGGTCATGATTCTTGGTTTCTAGGCAACCACTTCCAATTCATTTACTTAATTTGTCTTTATCTATCCTAATGAGTTCTAAAATTGACTGCTGTTTGGGACTGCATCTACAGTAGTATCATCTACACTTTTTACACAGGCCAGTGATGATTATATACAGGATTTCCAGTACATGCCCCTCAGACTGAACTTCCCCAAAAACTTCTTTACTCCCACCATGAGAATCTATTGTTTAAAATATATTAATGAAGAAAGTGATGAATTAATCCCCAGATGTCAGGAATAAGTCAAGTTCTTAAGTAACAAGCCAGTGTATAGTCTCATGTTCTTGGCTTGCAAGTAACAAAAAATTATTCACAGAAAAGCATGTCTTGTTTCTAATTCATAAAACAATGAAAAACATTTAAACAGCCTTCACAAATCACTATACATCAAGTTAGTCTTCTTCCTGTTACCTGCCTCTGACATCCACTTCAACTCTTCTACAACTGTTGTCAAAACACTCTTCTCCAACTTCATCCTTCCACCTGACTGCTTCCCTTCCTTTTCCTCTGACTAGAGTACCACATAATCAGGTGATGTCTAACCCCTATCAGTAATCATGTATCATGCAAACAGCTCTTACACTTCTGGAAAAGCCCTCCAGGAATCTCCATTTAACTCACCTACCTTGCCCTACCCTCAAAGGTAGTTGGATATAATTTCATTTTTTTAGAGAGAAAATAGCCACCACATCTCACAGAGCGAAGTTTAAACCTCTTACTCAGACTTCTCACCATTTATGTAAAAATCACCACATGACTTGCAAGCAATCCAGAAAGAGCCTACATGCTGGACCTATGTCACACAAATAGCAGTAGCAGCTGCTGAGACTATCACTTAGCCATCTTGTAACTCAGCCACGTGCTCAAACCATTCTATCCTTCACGGTGAGGCAATAGAAAGAGAAAGCCATTGCCACTTGCTCAGTGGATAATAGGCACTCTCCCAGGTTTCTGATTTTACCCTTTCCCTTTCAGATGAAACTTTTGTTGTGAAGCCAAAGTCTAATTTGAATTCCTAATACAAGAAAGTAATAATCCTAAACACAGTGAAATTCTAAGAAGATACAATATTAACTTTAAAAGGCATCTGTTTGTTACAGATAAAAACTACAAATTACTTCCTCATTTACTATAGTGAATACTTGAAGTTGGTTTGGAATAAACTCAGGCTTTCATAGAGCTTGACATTTAACTCAGGGGAAGCCTAGGTCTAGCAACTCTAGAACAGGTAGGGCTTTGTCAGATACCTGTGTTTTGGCATGGTTTCATATACATGACTGTTTCTGGTAGTGTCAAGGTCATTAACTCACGTTTGCAAAACAGAAGTGTTTCCTGTTTTATTGGGGGACTCCATGTCACAGCCTTAGAATAGTGTCAGAAAAAGTTTTTCCTATACAAAGTTTTACACCTATTATAGACAGGTGCAGAAACAAAAAATGTCTTTACCCAGGGTTACTTTTCCATCCCAAGATCAGGTATTGAGAGTAAAAACATGAACATAAATTTTATAGAATCACAGAATAAGTTTTAGTTGCAATAAAAAAAGTCATTTAATCCAACCCAAATTTAATTCACAAGGCTCCAGGAAGCCAATATAAAACTTAGCAGACAAGTTTGATATGTTACCACATTAAGATTTTCATAAGCAATTCAGAACATACCCATTAGTCTTCTCTGCTGAGTGTAGTGTTAGCCATAGGCTGATCTGATATAATTACTGCCTGATGAAGCAACTGGCTTCTACAAAACAAATTACAGCAAATCCTATTCCTTCGGAACAGATATAGAACACAACACTTTAATTTGTGGTTACAATATGGTTTAGTTTTTCCTCCCTACACACATGGATATCCATTTGCTGCTGACATAACTGTACAATTATGCAGGCATTTTCACACACAAGTAATAGCAGACATTCTCCTGCACTTCAGCATCTTGGCTTCTCAACACTGTACAACATACAAACATACACACTAAAGAGTAAGAAAATTAAAAAGTCAATTAAATTGTCATAATTACCATCAGTACTGTTCTAACTCTAACTTTTAAATCACTACATGACTTTTTACCACCACATATTTTTGTCCATATACTGTACTTACAATTATCTACCTTGACCCAAGACTGCTGATTTATGCAGAGAAAGGTCTCCCTCATGTGGAAATCTGCCTACCAACCATAAAATAAAAACTGATTTTTGTTCCTTAATAAAGGTTCCATTGCTTAGGTTTGCAGATTAATTTGGGGAAAGTACAATTTAGTATATTTTTTACAATGTTTTCGTTCTTTGGAGATATTATTACAGTGTGAAAGAAAAAAACATGTTGATAAGAGAATCACAAGAATTTTAAACATGTATAAAAAGATGGCAAAATACCGTAAGCAAAAGAATGTATGGGAAATCAATCTAGGCAAAATTCACAGGTTTTGGGGTAATCTTGTATCCATCAGTTTTCTCAGCTTTCCATTCTGGCCATGCTGAGTATTGTTCAAGGTCTTCTCATACATGTGATTTCCATGTATTGCCTTTTCAGAACCCAGCATAACTGTGGCCTAAAATTGCAACTGACCGTAAGAGTTAGATTTGTCTTAATTGTGTGGTCTGGTAAGACAATAGAGTTAATCTGTTTTGGCTACAGATAGTTATGATTCCTCACATCTAACTGGTGCAGTTCAAAGGTAAGTCCATTCAGATTTTCTATTTCAGAAACTAATTAAACTCATTTTTAACTCCCCAGTTTCAACATTTTTAAAGAAAAAAAGGGCAAAAAATGAAGCTTCTCACTCTGAGAAATACTCACAATTTGTGAGAACAATCTAAATTTCAGGTTTTTTCCCCTAAAACAAATGGACATCTTTGACCCAAAGTGAATGATATCAATTTTCTTTTGCTGAAAAAAGTTTGCCTTTTCAGTTGACCAGGTGAATTTTCTTAACTCATGGTTGAGCCAAAAACTATAGACCCCTACCATGTTTACAACTGTGGTCCAAATGTCTAAAATGTATTGGGTAGTAAATAAAATTTAAAGGCTGTTCATATACATGCTGTAATAGTAAAACCATAGTAAGATACCTAAGACAAGAAAAGTGCACTTGGATTAACAGCTTTATTTGAATGGTGTAGAGTTGGCTTCTAAGACTAATTTTTCCTAATTTTGCAGAAAAACTGCAGATTAATACCTCAATTACTTTTACACTCCTATAGCTGAAACTATTAAACCTATTGCACTTTTTTGTAGCATTTCTGCATGCCATACCAGAAAGGAACAGAAAAACTTTTAATTGGCTTTTATCATTCCCTTTAGGGATATTTTATTTCCTTCCTTCCTTATTTGTATCTCAAAATACTTAAGAAACCAACTGAAGCCATTATAATTGCTCAAGTACAATATTTTAGTGACAGTATTGATATAATTTGGAAAACAAAGACCTGATTTGTGGTCATCAACAAAAAGAGTGGTGGAATAACTGAAAAATCAGCCACAGATTTTGGCTGATTTTTCCCTTTTTAGTTATACTATATAAGTATATAAATGGTACAATGCTTCAGAATTAGGTCTAAAGTATGACAAAAACATATCTGCTGTAAAGGTATCTGGGTCAGGTTCTCAGACTTCAAATTCGTCAGGTAGCTGGACTGAATTCAAACAAAGACAAAAATCAAACACTTCCTATCCATCAGAGACACTGGTGAGCCATCAATACAAGAGAGAATAAAGAATGAATCTGTTTCCTTTATTGCTGGTTGTATTCTTTTTATCCCCTTCAGTTTTAAAATTAGTTCACAAGACATAATTTTAGTGCATGTCTTAAAAGAGAAACATGGCATTAACTCCTCATATTGATTAGTATTAACTCGTATTATTTCATAACAGTTTAAAAAAATTACCATCCAAATTCCTCAGCTTCTGCACATCTCAGAATTTTTTTTCCCTGATGTGTTGAATTTTGTAGTTCTATGAAATTTTGTTTTAAAAGTCACATTTTTATTTATACAATTTAAAAAAATTATCAAAAAATGACCCAGTTTCCCTAGAATTATACATAGTTAAAATGTGAAATACACTGATGTTTCCAGTTCAGTCCATACTTAAATGCCATTACAAAAGAATCATAACTTTACTGAACATGTAATCCCTTACTCAACAGGAAAGCTCTTTGGCTTGGTTTACGCTTCAAGAAATTTTGTAGCATATCCATTCCATCCAAAGATCCACCAGGTTTCAAAATGAGGTTTCTGTATTTCATCCCAGCCTGACAGAAGGTAAAGCAGAATGTTAGTACTTCTTATCTTGCCCCTTTTTCTGTTGCATATTTGCTGCATATGTACAAATCTATTAATGATAACTTTCCTTCTTCCAGATTTTCCTAATACCAAATTAGGACATACCAGGATATACCATAAGTATAATTTAAATCTGCTGGAAGAATTCAAGAGAACAGAAATTTGATCAATTCTAATGAAATTATTTTCCTTGTGGTTTTACACTGGTTTTGAAGGTACAATCAACTTGTCTGAAGGCATTCTATAAAGCATAACAAACACACAACCTCTTCAAAATCTTCAGTGAAAGACTACCCCTGTGACTGACAAGCAGGGAGAAGGAACCCAACATCCTGTCTCTAACTGATGATTTCTCTTTCTTTAATCTGTTTGGATTACAGAGATGATACTTCAGAGATAAAATAGGTATACCACTGTAGAATGGCATGGCACTTACACCCATATAATATACACAGTTGTACACATCATACATAAAAACACATCTAACCCACCTATTAAAGTATCTTAGAGAAAATGAGACTTAACTCAGGTTTCAGGAAGAAACATTATTGCTTCAGAAAGAATGGATTCCTTTAAAAAAATCAATGACGTTTCTAAGAAAACAAGTAATGAGGAGTTTCTTAAAAAGAAGTTGTATTTTATGGAACGTATGTATCTGGAGAATTCTGGGCTTCTGAGACATGATTATAAATGAGAAAATGTTATTTTGCATGCACATGTCCCAGGGCTTCTGATACTGAAGAAGCCAATGTTCTTCCTTTCAGTCAGTGTATATACACATATACACTTCCCCACAACTCATCAAGACCACACTGCTTCCTCATGACTTGTTGGGGGGTTATGATTTTTCCTTTTGTTTCTTCATCTCATGGAATTCTGTCCCATATGTTGCTAGGAAACAATAACTACCAATACTTAAGAAAACAAGAGGTGTAGTTGGGTGTCACAACATTCCATTGAAATAGCCCTGGCTAGGAGCAAGTTACATCTGACAACACAGAGAAAGGTGAAGGGTCCTGAGAGGTTTGGGGATGGCCTTTTTGTCAGTGTGGTTTCTGGGTTCGGGGGAGCTGTTTGCTGTTTGCTGCTCTGCCTGCCCGCTTGGAGCTCAGAACCGGTGCGTGTGGCGCCGACCCTCTGCCCGCCTTGCCTTGCCGCGGCCACTCCTGTGCGCTGGACTCTGAGATCCCGATGCGGTTTCCCTGCACTGTAAAGTCTGTTAAATTTTTTTTTTTTTGTTTCCCGGCTAACTGGGGGAGTGATCCGGAGCCAACATGTCGGGTGTCCCCCTACAATTTTGTGCGGGAGCTCGGAAATCGCGACCAGTTGCTGCCCGTCCCTTCCCGCCTGGGCCGAACAGCCATGACGGCGTGGTGCCCGCGCCACAGCGCCCCCTGTCGGCCTGGCGGAATCCCCGCTCCATCCCGCCCCTTCCGGCGGGAGCAGCAGCGCCCCCTGCCGGCCGTGCCCGGAGCTGCAGCAAGGGGAGATGGATTAAACTGCAGGGAGGAGACTGTTAATGGGGTTTTCTGTTCTTGTTTGTTGTTATGGTTTGTTTGCCTTGTTATACATACATACCAGTAAAGAACTGTTATTCCTTTTCCCGCATTTTTGCCTGAAAATCTCTTAGTTTCAAATTCACAATAATATGTAGGGAAGGGGGTCATATTGTCTATTTCAAGGGAGGTTCCCACCTTCCTTGGTGGACACCTGTTTTTCAAATCAAGACATGATTGTACTGTAAAAACAAGCAAAGGTGTTTTCAAGTGATGGGCTTCCATGACTTAATTGAATTACCATTTGCAGTGTCTGAATTACAGCTGGAAAAATCTAAAATAAAATAAATATAAATAATAAGTTTAAAAAAAATCACTGAAGTGTTGGTCACACTTCACTAATTTTTCTAGTTTGCTGAACATCAGCAGCAAATGAATATATTGTTCCCTGCAGTTTACAAGTATCTTTCGAGTAGACTTGAGTCTTTGCTATTGTCCCTTCAGAGCCAGAATACTGCTCAGTGCTAGGGAGATCAGAGGTTAGTTCAGATAATGTGCAAGAAGTGAGGAGCTTGGCTACCAATTAAGTTAGAGTTAATTGTTTGTGGAAAAATATTAATATGTTCAGTCTCTGAAATTAGGTTGTATAACTGTTGCTCAGAACAGGAGGAGAGGTTTAATTCAAAAAGGAAGAAGTAAGCCAAATTTCTGTAAGGCCTAGTTACAATACCTTATTTCCTTTTCTGCTGTTCTGAAAACTAGTCTAAATCTAGATATAATGAAGTACAAGTAACTACAAAAAACATATAGGTATCTATTTGCTTATAAAAAATTGTTTGCCCCATCCTGTGGGATGTTATCATACTGGTTTGGGTTAAAAGAGAACTAGTTTGAAGAGATAACATTGCAGAGGGAGAGAAAAAATCTCCACAGCTATCCCTGAAGTCATATCAGCATTCACACAAAATGTTTGTGTGCACATATGTCAGACAGTGAGTAACACACATAAATAATCACTTTTCTGCCTCACTTCTTAGCCTGAATAACAGGCTTCACAATAAAAGAGGTACTAGTTTTCTTTCAGCTGTTCCACAGAGATATTCACTTTGAGCATAATTAGTTTATTCTCAAAGCCTCCCATAAACAGGCAAACAAAAAAGAAATTCTCACAGAAAATCAGAATAAAAGACATCCCTCAGGAGAAGTAAAGGTAACAGAGCCATTTTGCCAAACTATGGCTTAGGGTTTTGACTATACATTCACTCAAAACAGATTTTTGAGACTAGACAGTAAAACTGATGGAACAAAATTATGATGGCACTGGAGGGAGGTGGATATGTCAGAACAAAAAAACTGACACAAAGTTCCACAGGTTTGGCACCAGCACCCTTAACCATCTTTCCCAAATGCTAGCAGTTATAAAAGCCAGCAAGTCTGAGCCCTCCATTCAATATCATTTTAAGATCCATATGAACAACATTTCATTGAAAGTTCTTTTATTTACTCATTTAGCTTGACACTTCTCTACTGTTCATTTATGAGTAACGAGATTCCCAATGAATAAGCAGGTAGGCTTATTCTCGTATGTACCTGTTATGAATCCCTATCCGTTCAAGGTCAATCCTAACCTCCAAACCCTATGTTACTTCTTCTCTCAAACTGTGAAATTGGCTGCTTTTCTTCAGAATATCCGTTTTAGGTTTTGTTGGCCTAACCACTGCCTCAGTTTCACAGTCGTATCCCATCTACTCTTTCGACTCCCCCTCTTTGTCCAGATCAAAATCTAATCTTGTTTACTGTCTCCATCCTCCAGAGGGATAGACAGTTCTAGAAGTTCTGGTTGCTGTGATAAGTACAGGCAGAAAAGAAGACAAATTCCAGGAAAGGCAAAGGATAGTCATTAATTTTCTACTCTTTCCTTTATTCTTCTCTTGTATACTTTTATTGAAAGGAAGAACTAGTGCTGGAAGCTGAATCAAGAATGCAGTTAAGAGGATCAGGAAACCCCAAAAGTCTTTCCCAGTATAGAACTCATCTGTCTCATCTGCAGCACTTAAACTCAAGTCTAATACTATAATCTCTGAAAAAGATTGCTAGAATTGGCAGGACTACTAACCACATCACTAATTATCCTTTTTTTCTGCTGGAGGCAGAAGAGGCTGAAGAATTACTTTAGGGAAAAGAGACACAGTAAGTCTAGAACCTCTTAATGGTTTGGAGTTCAAAATGGACCTGGGATTTAAACCGAAGACGAGACAACTTTCACATCATGTGTTGTGAAAAGCTCAAAATAAATTCATTTTCTAAATTGTAACTACATAAAAGGACCACATAGTTAAGGTACAAAGAATGTAATGGAAATGTAAAAGAAACAGAGCAGCACTATCGTACAAGTTTAACCAGATGAATATGCATCTGCTTTTGGATCCTGCAATGGAGGAATGTTTTTTCAGTCCAAAATTACAGAGGAAGGCATTAGACAAGGCAACACAGTATCTCAAAAGTACTGCAGTATTAAATATACGGTGATGTAAGAATCGTATTAAAATCCAAGTGCTCTAGGAAATTTTAAGATGGTTTCCTTAAAATTACTTTTACACCTTTTTTGATTTTGATCTGAACTCAACAGGTACAGAGGTAGTACTTAAAACATTATACTTAGGGATCATGATGGCAATAAATGTGGATTCAGAGACAAAGTGCAAGAGCAGAAAGAGTTTAGCAAAAAGTATTCAGCACCTACCTTTGGATTCATTATTCCTTCTTGCTTAAAGCAGCTATAAAAGATATCCATGGAAAACACTTCACTCCACAGGTATCCATAGTATTGACCATCATAACCACCTGCCAAATGTCCAAAAGTAGCCGGCATGTTTGTTCCTTGAAAAGTAAATCAACAAAGTTATTGAAATTAAATACAGTTATTTCTCTGATGCATACAGTACTTCAACAGTAAATTAATAAGGAATTTATATCAACTACTGTAGCAGTGTGGCAAATGGATATTGTTAATGCTACCAGTCCAAAGCTCCCTTGAGAAAGCCGCTTGGGTTGGCAGAGTCAGTCACTGCATCCAAAACTCATGCACAACACAGATAAGTCAGTGAAGAAAGACCAACAGGGCCTCCTATATGGAATTCCAGAGAGGTTTATTGCAACCCCACCAAAGGGATCCAGTGACCAAAGACCAAGACTTTCTGCAGTGTCTCAGGTTAAGTATAGGGTCAGGGGCCAATAGTCTAGGGGCACAGGGGCAAGGCAAAGGTCACCAACCTATAGGGGACAAGGTAAATTTACCTAGTCTTGCATAGCACCTGGGAAGAAGCCTTTTGCCTCATCCTAAGCAGTCAGGCTTTCTTGAAACCTGTGGCAGACTTACAGGGCATATGCCCAGAAATTCCCCCAGCAGGCTCAAGGGCTTGCTCAAACTACTTTGAAACTTTTAGCATAACAAGTCTGAGTATGCCTCAAATTACTGAACATACCTGTTGAAACAGACATGTTGAACATCAACAGTATTGAAAACGAAGGAAACTCAATTTCCCATTTTAGGCTACCTGTCCATCCAACACAGATGTGACAGAACATCTAAAGTAGAATTCACATTGTGACAATCTAAAATATATCTTGTAAAAGGCTAAATTTTATATTTACCTTGTTCTTCCTTCAGAAGAGATCATAAAGATCATCCTAAATTCCAAAATAATTATTTCAGCTCCATAAAATAGATTATTCCATAAATAACTCTGTTTTTTTGTATGCCAAGCATTATTGAGAAAGAAAGGCATGTTAATTCAAACCATTTGGGCATGAAGCTGTATAAAAGCTTCATACTGACATACCTGGGGTGGCAGGAATTCCTAGAATCTCCATACAGTATTTGGCATATTCATCTGCTGGGTCAACAGACAGCTCTGTGTGCAGTGCCTGGTCAACTTTGCTCAGAACAATCTGACGGAGGGTTAGATGTCCTAATTGGGTAAACACATTTAATTAACCAGTATCAAAACAGCTGGAGTTTCATTTGCATCTTTCCTTCAAAGATCTCAATATGCATACTCAATTATTAGAATTTTGGAGTTATATAATTTCCATCTACGCTTACAAGGAGTTGAGAAGAATAGTTTTAATAAAGGAATTATGCTAAGCTCCCTCTTCTTGAATATTACTTTCCTCATTGATAAAAACTAAAATAATGCAGATATTTTAAAAGCAAATTTTAATTTAAACTTTTTTTTAAGAAGCTACAAGATATGAACCTTTAGTCAGACAAAATGCTTATGCAGCTAGAGCCTGTGCAAGCCACAAGGACAAAGACTTCTTGTTCAGGATAGGACAGCAATATGAAATAAACACGAGTAGTTTAATGATGACTTGGTACCATAAATGGGAAGCTCTGATTACAAAAATAAAGAGATGGGAGTGATAGAATAATAATGACATGATAGGTAATGACGTGAGATTACAATCTTAGTTTGGAGATATACATATAAGGTCTACAGCTATGCTGTCTGGGATATATTATGTCTGTTCACTAAATTTGCAAGTAACTTCCATATCTGCTAAGTGTCGCATGCAAATCAAATGCAGACGATACATGTAGATATACAGTGTCTTGCACAGTGCCTGGAGTGCACATAAGATTAAAAACCCCACAAAAACCACACCAGACAATAACAGACGACCTTCCTCCACCCACCACACACATGACCAATTGTAAATGAAAAAAGCCTATAGGTAAAAAAATTATATGGAGAGGAAAGATATTTTAGTCCTGTAGGTGGCCAGAGCTGCTACTCTTCCTGCAAAGAGTTCTATCTATCATAGCCTTTTCTAGTGGGGTACCCACACAAATAAACCTAGAAAGACAGTGGTAAGTGCATGCACAGAAGAAATTTAATAGGCTTGTTGTGTTTGTCAGCTTTTAAAATCATACACTTCCATACATATACAGCGGGGAGAAAAGGCAGAGACATACCTGTATTAGCAAGTCTAGAGGCAGCAAGCTTCTCCAGAAGAGCGTCTCCAACATGGGTTGCATCTTTATAATGTCTTGACAGCTGTTGTAGTGGCTCTTTTTCCCACACCCAGTTCTCAAACATTTGTGAAGGTACCTCTACAAAATCTGTTTCCACATTAGTTCCACTAAACCTTGCAAAATCAGTCTAGAAAAAAAAAAAAAAGCCTTTGAATTAAGTTAAAATAGAAGTGAGTATTTTTAGTAGAATATTTAAGATGTCAAAATTTCAGTTTAAATCACAGGAAAAGGAATAATTTGAACAGACCAATAATAATAGTAATAATTTTTAAATGAAATTTAAAGAAAGGAGGAAAAAATCAGACATAAGACTACTACAAAGGAATAAAGTAGGGTACTCAGTAGTTATATACTGTATTATCTACTGGTATAGAACAGTGCTTCAATTTTTTTAGTATTATTCATTTTTACCTTTTAGGCTACGACAGCAATACAAATGTTTTCATACTATCTTGTGACAATGATACAATTTGTAAATCATTACAGATTTTTGTTGTGTTTACCCCAAAGTAAAACAATAAACTCCAACTATGCACTTTAAAAAGTTTATTGTATTGCAGTCTACCACACTGATTCACTTTACTTAACCAACTTATTCTATTAAGCTTTGCTCTATATGTCATCTTTGGAATATATGTGGTTAACATATAACACAATTTTTTTAGATGGACTGATTAAATAAAGAAATAAAATAAAATAAATCCCAGCAACCTTATCCATGGAAAGTTTTCAAATCTGACACTTTGATAAAAGAATCTTTCTTCTGAAAGCCAAGCATATTAGCACTTTTTTTAAAATTTGAATTGTTTAAATTTAGTATCAGCAATGACTTCATATTTAACAGGTTCCCCCAGTATCAATTTTGAAGAAAAGTTTGTGCAGCTAAGAATCTTCATTAAAATATACTCCAAATCCAAATATTTCTAAGAAGTCACCTTCTTTCACCTGAAAGACAGTTATTCAAATACACAGAAATTATTTAGTCTTATATAGAATCATAGCATCATAAAGGTTGGAAAATACTTTTAAGATTATCAAGGACAACGACCAACACAGCATCACCACCATATTCATGATTAAGCTGTTAACCTATGTTCTCAAGTACCACATTCAGACATTTTTTGAATGCTTCCAAGGATGTTAATTCTACCATTTCCCTCGGCAGATCATTTCAAAGATTTACAATGCTTTCAGAGAAAAAAATTTTTTCTAAATTCCAACTTCCAATCTAAACCTTCCCAGGTGCAACTCAAGCCATTTCCTCTTGTACTGTCATTGCCTGGGAGAACCTGACCCCACATCTGCTCCTTTCAGGCAGTTGTAAAGAGCAATAAAGTCCCCCCAGCCTCCTTTTCTCCAGGCTAAATACCCTGAGCTCCCTCAGCCACTCCTCACAAGACTTGTGCTCCACACCCTTTCCCAGCTCTGTTGCCATTCTCTGGAGTCACTCCAGCACCTCAATGTCTTTCTTGTAGTGAAGAGTCCAAAACTGCACAAAGGATTTGAGGTGTGGCCTCACTATTGCCCAGTCCAGGGAGACAATCCCTGTCCTGCTCCTGCTGATCCAGGCCAGGATGCCATTTGCCTTACTGGCCACCTGGGTCATGATACTCAGCTGCTGTCACCAGCACTGGCAGGTCCTTTTCCTCTGGGCAGCTTTGCAGCCACTCTGCCCCAGCCTGCGGAGCTGCCTGGGGTTGTTGTGACCTAAGGGCAGGACCTGGCACTGGGCCTTGTTGAACCTTATGCAACTGGTCTTCCAGATCCCTTTGCAGAGTATTCCTACCATCACTCCACCCTTGTTCTTGTAATGAGTCTACCCCTTCTTGCCAGCCCAATTTTATTTTTTTCTTTTCTTTCTCATCAAAATACTAACAAAACATTTTAAGTGCTAAAAGAATTCTCAGTTGTTCTAAGAGCTGTTGATATTCTTACAGTCCATCCTCCACTGGGAAATAGACCCTCACAGGATTACAGGCTTTTTTTTAAGTTAAGTTTCTTGCAGGGTTACAAAAAAAGTGTATATAATACAGGACATAACCTTGAACTGCCATCTGTGTCACATCCAGGTGTTTTCCCCTCTTCTCTTCAGAAGACCAACACAAAAGGAGTAAAACTTTCATCAACTCTTGCAGGCTGCTCAAATCCATAGATGTAAGCTGGCCCTTCTTACTGTCCTTGCTGAATAGCAGCTCTGAAGCTAGGAAGCACCAGCTTCAGGGAAGAAATGGCGATAGAAGTGGCCAGAGCAAAAAGCAAGGGGCCTTCAAGATATCTTCATTTAACCATATACAAGTGCACCATAAAAAACATCAAGACATTTGGTTCAAGTTACTTCAAGAGGTCTCCTTCCTGAACAATGTGAACAAATTCCCTCCCTGTCCTGATCTCACTCTCCAACACTATATCTCACTTTTCCTGTATATTAATAGAGTATCAGACCTTTACCAGCAGCTCAAAAATCCCTCCCAGTCTCATCCTTGCACAGCATTTAACTGTGAAGTCTTAACATGCTTAAACAAATCATCACATGAAACAAGACAGTGCTTTGTCCACATGAATTCCAGAGGACAGGATATTCTTATGTAAGACTAGCAAGTTTGCACACATTCAAATAGCTATTTACGTGCAATACAGGAGAAGTGAGCATGGCAGCTGGGCACACAGGAAACGCCAGAGCAGTGCGAGAGACAACTGGAAAGCAGGCCTCTCTGATTTGTGTGCAATTCCAGAGCAACGGAAGTACATATATATTGAAACTGTGGGCTTCAGCTGTCCTGAAAAGACTCCAAAACATGGAGGCACATCCACACTGGCTGTCAAAATGCTGCTGTCAGTTTTGTACTCTTCTATACCAATGCCATATTGTAATACATTTACAAGCACCTTCTATATTGCCCAGATTTTATTGCTCAGTTTTTGATACCAGAAACACATATCACAGGGTGAAGATGATAAAATAATAATTACATTTTTACCTTTAAGATGGTTCAAAAATATCTAAGCAAGCCTACCTACTTATTAACTCTGGGTTTAATATATGGATTTCTGCGATGACGTTGTTTCTTTATTCTGCAATCCTAGTCTCTAGGATCATGGTCAAGAATGAAAATCTAATGTGGGTAATTTTTTCTTGACCTCATTTGTATTTGTTTATAGAGAAGATGAAAGAAGTTCTGCACAAAATCTGAATTTGAAGATAACTATGTGAATTTTTTGGTGTGTGAATACTGACACCATCTCTTTCTGAACTGTAAAATTTTCATTAGGCTAATAATAAATTTATCATCTGTAGCATCAATTTTACATGTAAGCAAAAATGAAAACACAAATTGTACAACTTTATTGGTACCTTGGTAGAAAATCTGAAACTACCTTCAGTTCTTTCTGCTCACTGCAATAAACCTAGCCTGTCAGATAGGAAAAAACAAAATAGCTCAGGCAAGACTTGTTTTATGCTTGTGATGTCAAAAGTGATAGGTCTCAATCAACAGTACTAAATGCCAAAATGCTGGAGGTCATCTAGCTTCAGAAATTATTTTCATTCCTAGGTATAGCAGCCTTTTTTGTTTCTAATACCATACCTCTATAAAAACCAGAACTAATAAAAAGTCATCTGAATAAAGCCATGACTGAGCATCTTCTGTACCTGTAATGAAGGAATACACTCCTGCATGATGCAAATGCGAAAGTACATGTTCTTACAAAAATGTTTTTCAAAAGAAGGTGTAATTATTGCTTCAGTTTTAAATCAATATTAAAACAAAAAACAACCTGACACTTCAAAAAATAACCAGAACTCCGCATACGTGCTTTACTAAAATTAGAAACTACCAAAACAGAACTATACCTTGCTTTGAGAGAGTGGAGAAAGTAAGTCTTACACTGGAATAGAGACATCACTAACCTGTGCACATATCTGATGCATTACGTGACCAAATTCATGGAAGTAAGTCTTCACTTCATCATGTCGCAGCAATGATGGACGATCTGATGTTGGCTTTGTGAAGTTGGTTACCAGAGCAGCTACAGACATCAATCTGCTGCCATCAGAGAGAAGACAGCCAGGCTGTAGACCAAAGCAGGCTGCATGCCCATACTTTCCCTCTCTGTGTAAGAAAATATATCAGACACTATCTTCAAACCACAAGCTTGCTCACCAGAATGGTGAAGCCTATTCAAGAACAGGAAGAATCAGTCAGTGTCTCTACACAAAGTTTTACACAAAAAATGTACATATTTTCATGATTTCTAAGACTCAATACGTTAAGAGTAAAAGGGGGAAAAAAAGCCCCCTCTACTCTCATACTGAAATCACAACATTTCAATATTCCCAGCAGCATTTACAAGAATCTGAATGCTGAAAATATATATACTTCAGATACCAGCTGTGTTTTAAACTGCTACTGCAACAGGGAGAACCTGGCTTCTGTTCCCTGATGCAAATTTTTTTTTTATTACAGGAGACAAAAGAATACAGTACACTGCATTTTCACTGTAAGAGTTTAAAAAAAAAAATATTTTGAAATTTTTGTCCTAAACTATTTAGTTAACTAAGATTAAGTAAGAGAAGTCTTACGGACACATATCTTCTGCAATTCACATGATATACAATAATGTGGAAGCAGGTGAATAGGTGATGGAGACAGCTATGTTACCATAAAAAGAACAATTTATGTACTACTATATATATATTTAGTAACCTAATTTTCTTAGGCCAGAAAACCTTAAATCACCTTACATTAAAAAAGAACATCAGCAAATTTATAAAATGCTAAATATTAATCTAAAAAATGCTACACCAAAGCAAACAAAAAACCAGCGAGAAGTAGCCAAAAAGGACTAGCTCAGAATAAATCCTGTCAAACCAGTCTAGTCTCCTAATTGACAAAACACAGATGATACTATAAATAGCTACAAAGGCATCTGGAGAGCTACAGAGATCAACATGGCAGTAAATCTGAATGTATGCTCAACAGAAATCTATTCTTGATATTGATCTATTTGACTAGCAGTCTGGACAACAGGGTAGAAAATACACAAAATGTAAAGAGGAACTGGGAGAAACTAGGAACTCTTAGCTGACAGAAATTTAATTGATCTGAGCAGGCTGCAGTAACACTTCAACAGAAATGGAAATTAAAACCTAGTAGTATGCTAGAAAGGAGAAAAGCTTGTAGATGCAAAAAATTATGGACAACTCACTAGAGAGCCGTACTACCAAAAGTATGAACGAAGAAGCAATGCAATCTTCAATGAATATGAGCCACTATAAACAAATATAGAATATAAGAAATATGGAAATGTTTTTTATAAAAAGCGTAAAAAAATCCAAACACAGTCCAGGGAACAACTAAATGAACACAGTATTAATCTTGTCAGTGGAACAAATATTTACTTCCAAATGCATTTAATTTTAACTAAACAAGCAGCAACTCATTAAGACAAATTCCATTTTAAACATGTAAGCAAAACACTAAGTCATTACCTGGGGTAAAGATCCAAATAGAACTGCCCTAGCATTTCTCCTGTTGATTTATCCTTTACTGTATAAAGAGTAACACTGTCGTGCCAAACATGAGCACTTTCTATTTGCTCAAATTCAAGTCCCAGCAGCTTCTGGTAAATATTCAGTAAGCCTTCTGTAACAGCCTCAATTGGGAAGTATTCCTTCAGTTTTTCTTGATCTATGGAGTACTTCAGCTCTTCGGTTTTGCTCATATAATAATGAAGATCCCATGCATTGATTCTTCCGTCATAATCAAAATTTCTTTCTTTACATTCCTTCTTCTTCAGATCTAGAATGAATTGTCTTTCTTCCTCAGCCAAAGGCTTTAGCTTTTTACTCAAATCATCTAAAAGAAAGATTGCCTTGGAGTCAACTTCCATGTTTCTTATCTATTACTATAAAATTCATTCAACAGTTCAAGCACATACTCCAGAAGTGTGTGTTTTCCATTCATTCACCAACAGCAAGCAACATCTTGTCCTAAGAAGTCTTAATTGGAGGCATGCTATAAATGATACAGTATTCCATATAGGCCTAAGAGCTGTGTGAAAGGTTTTGGTAAATTTAGACTTTTTCCAAGTCATCATAAATTAAAAGTAACGCTAGATATTTATCCTTTGATTTTACCTCATATAATCTCAGTATTCCTTATACATTTCTTCAGCAATAGAGAAAGACTACAACTATTGTTACTGAAAGGAAGTGCAACACAAAACTCAATACTTCTAGATAAAGTCCTATAAAAAACCCAAAAGACCCAAGAATTTTTGCCTATGGGATGCCTGGCTTCTACACTAGCAGAGCTTCTGGATTTTAAAGTCTGTGATTCAAATTTTTCCCAGCATACTTTCCTTGGACAAGAAGGCATCATATCACTATGAAGCAGACATACCGAATATAAAATATTTATTTTATTATATTTTTATATTTAAATTATATTATTATTTTATCATTTTATTAAATATAAATTATATAATATATATTTATATTAATAAAATAATTATAAAATATTACTGACACCTCCATACAGTACATTCTGTACTTATTCTCTTGTAAGTATTTCTGGTCAATCTTTTTCTCATTAAGAATTCACATTAATGTTCATTATTGATACCTAGAGTGTAAAATTTAGGAACTGCCACTCCTGCTCCTAGTAAGCATGTTATGCACTAAATGCATTCACATGATTGAAATACTGTTTGCACAAAACACACTGTCATGCTTGTAGCTGAGACTATACCAAAAGGACTAAATAAAAAGTGACAATTAATTTGATGTATATTCTCCCTGTGAGAATTACCATGAAGCATGATATTTATGAATAGAAAAGTATCTGATCTCATACTGTAAAAAACACAGCTGCTAACTTATGCATGTCAGCTTCAAAATAAATGAAAAAACACAGTATTACAATAATATAATGGGAAAAAAGGTCTAAAATACTTCAAATACACTTAAAAACAATAACACTTAATAATAAATTAAAAGCAAGTTTTCATTAATTGTCAAGTATATTGAAAATTGGAATTGCCAAATATGGATCTTCAGGAGAAATCCATCAGAATTATGGATTTAGAAAGAGAAGCATATGAACGTCTTTATTGAAGCATAAGCACAAAACTCCACTACCATGAAACACACCTTATTTTTGTACTAATTTATTTGTGGGGGGTTACTTGGATGATACATCAATATACACTCCTATGTGGTGTTAGGACACAGTAATAAAGGAACACATACTATTCAGTGGAGCTAGCAGGAAGCAGAAGTTAACTCTACATCCAAGAGTCCACTGACATCAACAGGATGACTCTAAATTAATTCATAAACTGCTATGTTTAAGAATTTTAAGATATCTCTTTTCAGATCAAATTCCATTACAGGGCTTTTGAATTTCAGATTTAATCCATCACTCCAGATACAATTTTTTAATTCAGCCCATGGAAATTGCATCATCTCATATAGTAAACTTTTGTTATATTTAATGCAGCTGTATCAGAAAAAGACACCCAGGCTACAGATGAAAAAAAATTGGGAACAAAAAGCTGCAATTCTGATGCAGCCTCTTGAACTGATAAAATTACTTAAGCTGCACATGTTACTCTGGTTCTAAATGAGGGTAACTGAATTTTGTGGCAGAGAAAGGCTGAACCACTTGCTTATACTGGTTGTCACAAAGCAGTTATTCTCAGAATTTGCCTTGTGCTTCCTGATTTGGAACAACTTCATTTGTACAGTTATGATCTAAAAAATATATATGCCAAAACAGAGGCAGCAGAGTTCCTTTTCTGGCTAAGCCTCATGGACACTGTGACCCAGTTATGTATTTAAATTCATCTTGGCTGAGGGAACATGTTACTACATTAAATATACAAGTATTGCTTATAAATATGAACAAACCTAAAAAGGTTGTTACGTTATCTGTGCTCTTTGCCGTGTTTACCTCCAGGACAAAGTTGGCATGTGTATTATAGCCAAGAAGCTCTGCTACTTTTGCCCTTAGTGGGAGCAACTGCTGCAGAATTTTTGTGTTCTCCTAAAAAAGAAAGCAGGCAAATTTGTAAAATGAGATCAGAAAACACACGTTAACAAAACAATTATCTCAATAATATCTGTAATCTTATGAAATAGAAAATATTTTAAATTAAACACTTTCACATTAAAATATAAAATAAACCAAATTTAACTAGATCCTTGGAATATTTTTTCTCTGTCCTTGTAGGTAGCTAGATTTCTAGCTGACCTTATTCATTACTCTTCTTATTATAACAACTTATCTTTTTTTAATTAATCAAAATATACACCATTTTCTTTTAGTTGTGAAGAGTTTATTTCCTTTATCAATCATTTACATGTGAAAGACAAAAAGGAAATGGCTGACAGCAAGCCTAATTGCTTGTCAGTAATGAAGAAAGATTGCTAATCTATTGTGCTAACATTCAAAACCAGTTTGCAAATTTTCCTGTTTTGCCACTCTAACAATGGCAGTCAGAGAAAGATCTGAAACAGAAAACTCCAGACCTTGACCTTGATGTATTGAAGAATCCTCAAGAACCTGAAAATATAACTATGTAAACCTCTAGTCTGGAAAAGTGAGATTTGTCAGGGGGAAAAAAAATTAAAACACTAGATTTGAAGATTGTCACACAGTTTTATCATTAAATCTCTTTATGTGTGTTAACTTGCAAAGTGTTCAGTTCCTGGTGCCATTTTATCTTACCTTGTACTCATCACATTCCCAAGCATTTCAAGCACAAAAGGTCAACTCTGCTATTGCTTTCTAATGCATGGTTGGTACTACTGTCTGAATGATATATCCTCTGTCCTTAAATGCTTTTTTTATTTTGTATCTGTCTAGCTGTGCACATATGCAATCTTTTATCTTCACATTTAATCATCTGTATTTATAATTAAAACATGTTCTTAAATAACTCCTCTCTATGCCGAAGAATCCCAAAGGACTACAGAAGCCACAATCAGACATCCTTTTCTGTGAGGGAAGTGTCAGTAAGGGTCTGTGGAGCACTGTAGGGAAATTTCAGAGAAGATCACAATCCCACTTCTATTAACAGAACCACTTGAACATTAAGATACATACAAATATGCACACAGAGGCAGATTGTCAACTTCTAAGGTCTCAGGACTCAGGACATCAGAATAAATTGGAGCAAGGCATTGTTAAAGATGACACTGATAAGTTCTGATTCCAAAATACTTTACACTGTGCAAAATTCAAACATTTGAATGTTTAGCTTTAGAGTTTTTCAACTCTGTCATTGCACTGTAGAACAGCCAGTACACAACATACCTCTTTGCATCTTGAGTTAAAGGCAAATTCCATTTTTCTTCTGGTGTCTGAAATGCAGCACTTCTTCATAACAGGAAAATAGTGAGGATACTTTAAGGTAACCTTATATTTGTCTTTCTCAGTCTTCTCTAAACTGTTAATAAAGTCATCAGGAAGGCCATCTATAGAATACAATTTAATAAACTATGTTTAACGAAATTATCTACTCCCCCCTGTTTTGGTGAGACAGTTGCATTTGTTTTGCTGCAATCTACTTTGACATCAGAAATCTCCATAGAAATATACTTCCCTTTTTACAATTATTTACTAAAACTTTTTCGAATTCCTCCAAGCAAACAAAATTTGGAAACACCTGACAGCAAAAGAGAAATACATGTAAGGCCACCGCTAAAAAACTGAGTAACATAAAAAAGATCTCTGTTACTAGAGCATATTTCATGTGATGCCCTTCAGATAATGAATCCCTAAATGCTCTGTCACATGAAATCTCTAGCTTGGTTTAAATTACTGAATCAGTTAAACTTTGTTGCAGGACAAAAAAAGCTTTTCCAGTAATTACACAGGGGATTGCTTGATGATAACTGAGAAAAGGAACAAAGTAAAGTTATCCTAAAGGAAGTAGGACCAACAATCTAACAATGCAAGGCAAAAATCTCAGGAAGCAAAAATGTATGACAGCATGAACACCTGCAAAAGATAACTCTGAACTGATTCTGGAGAAGGACTAAAAAAGAAACAGAAAAGACTGGGAAATAGAATTTCACTCATGCATGAGATAAAAACCAGCTACTCCAATAAAAACTGGAAGGCTGAAAAAACAGAAACAGCAAGCATCCTACTCACCAAGTTCTTCCTTAGAAAATACAAGAAATGTGTTTTCCTCATTCAGGTTTTTGTTAAAGTCTATACACAGCTCATTCAATTTTTTCTTCATTGCCTTTATTTCCTGTATAGGGTATAAACTGAACTCAGTGGAAAAACAAAAATCAAAGTTGGCAATTTTTATCCTCTACATGAATGAATAACATTTCTTTTCTTTTCATAGGCTCTCTACTAACCAACAGTAAATACCAGGACTGAGCAAATAATACACTGCAGGTATCAGCATACTTCATACCCTGTCAGTCTTCCTTTTACGTTTTGTTTGGTCCTGAGCAATATTGTTGCCAAGGGCTATCACTCCAGCATTTTAAACTCAGCTTAGAGAGGACTGAACACATTCACTAGACAGTTACATGTACTAACCTTCAATTGTTTTATTTGAACAGCTAAATTACCATTTTAAGTGTATAAATATCCACTGAAATCAATGAGAATAAAAAGAGTAAAAAAGCATGTGACTTACTCAAAAACACTGTTTTGGAATTGTACAGGTATGGTATGGTAGAAAGAAGAGGCTGCTCTCAAAACACAAAGCCATTCTAAAAGCTATTTTAAAACCCTGATAGTCATTTTTTGGAAACATTTTCTAATACAGCAAATTTCTACATGTTATTTTCAAGTTCAAATAAATGTAGTTACCAGTAAGAGAATGCACACTAAATAAAAAGCTAAATACAATTCAACTATTTTCCTCTAAGGAATTTCCAAATACCTTGAGAGGCATCGGTTATATGAAAATACACATCAAACTGTACTCACTAGCAGAAGGATGTGGATGAAGATTGATTATTTTCTACAAAGGGTTAAGTCTATTCAACAGTCAGAAATAAAGGTCAAATTATAGTCAGAAATATCACTCAGAATTTGAAGATAACTATGTTGGCATCTGTAGAATCCCACAAGATAAGGGCCAGTGTGTATGTCTGAAAGACCAATAGCAGGATAGCTACGGCACCAGCCAAGGACTGTAGGTAACAAGAGCCAAGGACTGCTGGCAGTAACACGGTGAGAAAGAACAAGATGTGACTGGACAAGGGGCCATGCAGAGGTAGGACAGCACTCTTCTGGGACAAAGGTCTTTGATTTTCCTCCTGGAGATAAGCGCAGCTCAGTACAGCACAAACAGAGAAATGAGAAGGAGCAACAAGGTCTGGAATGTAGAGAGGGGGAACAAGACCACCAAAGGCTGCCAAAGCCCTCTGACCCATTTCCAGAACAGTGTAAAGAACAGGCTGTGCATGATGACTAATTTACACAGAAATTGCAAAACTTTTCTCTAGGGCAAGGAGAACTTATCTATTAAACAGTATCCCCACCCAGGACCAGGAGGTACCCCCAAGACTCTGGACACCTAGGCAGCTGGATTGATGCTCGAGGCATCAATCATGAATGGTCATGTCTCTTTCTCCCTTTCTTCTTTCTCTCTTCCCCTCTTTAATTAATTTATCTCTTTGTCTTTTCCCTTTCACTGTATCCCTTTTTTACAAAACCCACTCCCATGTGCTTATGCTAGGTCAGGGACTAATGTACCAATTTCCACACCAAGTATATAGTTTACTAACAAAAGTTTGTAAGCTTTGCAGACCTTAATTCTATCATTCCTTTCAACCACAGTCATCTACATGAATCTTGGGTGCTCCCTTCCCATTAAGGGTGAGATGCTAGCATCTCATGCTAACAATTTTACTTCCTGATTTTCTGAAGTGACAATTGCTTTCTAAATCAGCTCTCCCTTAAGGAAGAAAAATTTTCAGAGCAGCTTGTTTTGTCCTCTAACCTACTTTGATTTTTTTTTCAGGTATAATGCTAAAATCTTGGACACATTTTACAACATCAATTAACTGAAACTAGTGTAGCTGTGTGTTTGCAACAGTTATACATACTTTTGAATAGAAATGCAGACTCACTAGTAATATTTTCTGAGAGGTCTCTTCCCTAGGAATCTAACTTAGGCATTCTCTCTAATCATAAAATATAATAAAACTTTTTTATCTAGGCTTCTTTTAGTCTCAAAACTATGAGGTGATGCAGACCACCTCCCTCTATTGCGTACCATGGCTGTCTATCAGATTAGTTTAAAAACCTTCAAGTGATTGAAGTTTAAAGGATGGATCTGGATGTAAGATCAGTTAAGATTAGAGCAGTAATTCAGCAGGTCCAAATAAAGTTCAAATACATGCTAACCAGCCCTAAATTTATCCCTTCAACAGCTGCAACCTTTGCTTTATAAACAAATAGTACATATTTACTTTCTGCACTTCTTTAGGAAGATGGAGTCCGTTTCTTCTCCCCACTTGAATAGACTTCTCTAGATACCGCTTTGTTTCAGGTTTTACATTTTCAAGATCACAGGTTTGCTGAAATGATAGTATAGAAAAATTCAATTTATAACATTTACTGTATGAACCATACCAAGCATTAGAAGGGTTTGAACAGAGTTGTTCTTTAAAACACTGTCATATTAAAAAAGGAAACATTCTGGATTTTAATGTGAAGAACTTCCCTAAACAATAGTACTTTTATATTCATGTAGAATGTTTGTAAAATAATATTCTTTTACCAAGTGTCTCAGCACATTTACATGCTGCCATAATGGCAAGCCCTTCCAGTTTACAGTACAGTGCACTTAAGCTTCTTCTGTAGAGATCGCTTTCTTTAAGACAGTAGGAGAAAATCAATGCTGTAACACTCTACCCTATAAATAAGAGGGATTGAAAAAAAAAATCCCAGAAGATTAGAAGTGTCACTTAAGAATATCAGATGGCATACAATTTGAGCATATTTGTCTTCTCCAGAACCAAGATACCAGTGACAAAAACAAAACAGTATCACAGAAAATTCTGAGTTGGAAGGGGCCCACAAGGACCATCTTCTTGAATATACTACATTCACAAAATTTTGGAACTTTCCAGAACTTTTAGAACAGGTTGATGATTTTATATACCATTTCACACTTGTTTTGGAAAACCTTGCTACTTTATTCCAGGAAGAAACCTACAGGCAGAGTAAAAAACAAAATATACTTAGAATGAACAAAACCTGAAGCAGCTCTTTACATCAGGCTGTTTCCTGAGGGCATGTGGGTGGAGAAGACTGGCAACATTCTTAAGCATGTCTCTACTAGTCACCAGATTCACCTTTATTCCAAGTTTCAAACCTCAACATACAAGTTTTTCAAAGAGTAAGATATGGAGCACATTCAATGACATAATTTTATGCAGAAGTTTTTCCCCCTAATGTGTGGGGAAAAGAAAGTGACTACATTATTTTAATATTTTCTTAAATTAAATGTAAAAACCTCATTTTTCTCCATCAACAGCTCTTAAATTAAGCATAATTTAGAAAGAGTACTGTTGTTAAATTAGAAAAGTTTAGCCCCCCTTAAGGGGAGCTAAAGCATTCCACATGTCATTGAGGCCAAGCAGATTTGCTCACCTCTTAGTATGCTGAGTTATGAATAACGTGGAAGTGTGAGGGCCCTCATTCCCCTCACCCCATTTTAATTTGGCCCCATGAAGGATCATGAAACCGAGTTAATCTACCTGAATTATTAAATCCCCAGTGAGGCCATGAAAAACCTGATTTAATCCAACTATCTGCTGCTTTTTTGAACTGGTGAAATAATTTTAGCCGAAATCTGAATTCTGTTTGTGGAAGTTCATTTTTCATGTGTTCCTGGAGCCTGACTTTTTAACTGCTAGTTTCTAACAGGAGGAGGCATTAGAAATTTGGGAAAAATTAGCAAGAACTTTATGATTTGGAAATAGCAGTATCTGACCAGTCTGGCACTACTGGAAATTTCCTGTGTGTTTGTGAGCAAAACTCTTACTACTTTTACAGTTATTAGAAGTGGATATATACTCAGAATTTGCATCTCAGGCAAAATAATACTAAAACATGCTTGCATGCTGCAGTTATGAAAAATTTCTAAAAAACTTAAATGGAGACTTAAGCAAAAATTCTGTTATAAAGGTTAAAGATTGCTGCAAGGCAAAATTAAACAGGAAAACACCAAATGAAAAAAAAATATTAAGAAAGTAATAATAGTGAATAACATTAACTAGTGTTCACTACCTACTGTCAGATTGTCCTGTAAATTAAAAATAGATAGATACACATATGTTACATAGTCCTCAGTATATCTGTGTATTCCATAGTGGATGGTGGGGAAAATCCCAGTAGATAATACATACAAATCAAGCCATTTAATTACTAGCAACTGAGCAAGGGAAGGAGAAAAAAAAATCAACACAAAGTACAGGGGGGAAAAAATGTTAACAGAAGGTACTATCTGCCAGCATACAACAGAACTTGAGCTTATTGTATACTTCCACAAACATGTAACAAGAATACCGAGATAGAGGAGAACACTTGAAAGCTTCCCTGGAAAATACAGCAAAATAAGACAATTGGTAATGGAAGGTACTTTAGTATGGTTCTGCAAACATGATTCTGATTCCTGGTCAAGCCCGCAAAAACCACAAATGGTGACTCCACGAAATAAGCCTCTAATATCTTAGAAGCATTACAAGAAGATTAAAAATCACTGGGGTTGAGAGGAAAAAATCACATATAAAACAGAAAAACACGTATTTTTTCATTATCATATTAGATAGCTTCCTTCCATTATCTTTACATTGCACTTTAAAGAAAATTACTACTAAACGTCACCAGACATATTGGAACAAAACCAAATATTTCTGTCTGAGCTACAAAAAAAACAATACAAATGAAGAATATGAGATACCTACAGGTGTTCAATTAAAAGAGAAGCTAAACAGAAACACAAAGGGGATAGAAACTAGTTCAACAGTAAATGTATCTTTTAACACAGTTTTATTTTCAGGCTGAAGAAACAGATGAAGAAGAGGATACAAGGTAATTGTCTATAATTAGCTGATGAAAAGAGGTAATTTCAGAGGTCAATCCCATTTACATGTTCTCATTAACCTTCTAACTTAAAACTGCTTTTAAATTCAAAATTCTCAATATTTTCAATAATGCAGAATTTTGGACACATATTCAAAAGCAGTATAAGCCAATGTAAGTATAAGCCAATGTAAGTATATTGCTATATTGCCTCTTTCTTCCCTCCTGGAACAAGCTCGGTCAGAAGGAAAAAAAAAATAAAGAATTTCCTAATAGGTTTCTGTCTTTTAGTTTAGATTCCTTGTATCGTTTTTTTGGAAGACTAGACAAAAGTCAAAGCTACTGCAATGGAGAGAGAAGGATACACAGATCTAGATATGAGAAAGAATAGGAACAGCAGAAACAGATGTTTTCTGCTGTATTGCAGTGTCCCATTGGAAAGATCTGAGTGGTACAGACACAGAGGAAACATAAAGTCATCTTGAAAAGCATTGTGAATACCAATTAATTTTAGATAAATTTAGATATATGTCACAACTAATGCAGATATACTGTTATTTACCTGTAAATAAACAATCTTCTGAAACACGTCTTCTCTCATGCTCATCTCCACATCAAAATTTGACAGTTTTTTGTCAGCTTCTGTACTTGCTAAGCGTATCTCTTTGTCAGTGGAGACGTGCTGGGGAAAATCCAACATGCTTCTTTCCACTGTTTAAATAAGATGCATCAAACATAGAAGAATAGACATGCTTTAAGGATCTTTTCCTCTTCTGACATTTGTAAAAGACGTAAGAAAAAATTATCCAAAGCAACCTAACACATATAGCATATAAAGTGATTACAACTAATATAAAACTGAAGAGGTTAAAAGGACAAAACCACACACCGTTTTAACAAATAAACTTTTTACAGAAGATTTCTAACCCCAAGCCTGATTATCTCACCATCTTCTACAAAATCAGCTGATTGGTATATAAATACATTAGAAATGCTTCATCTTCCAAAAGTCATGTAAGTGAAGACTGACATTTCATAGCTGGCACACATGGTTCTGTGTTAGCATTTAAAGTCAGAAGCTCTGAATCTTTCAAACATGCCCATCTGTCCTGAAGTTATTTTTGCATTGTTATGAGCACAGTGTCAAATCCCCATGTACTGTACTCTTCTGTGTTTAAGGAGAATCAAAATGGTAAACACGGAAAACGCTGTCCATGCATTCTGAACTTCTAGAGATTGGAAGCTGAGTAATACTACATTTCTAGAATATACTTCTGAGATTAAGTAAATCCTTGATATTTAAGGAACATTACATCTTCAAAGACATTGAACAGATATCCTAAAATAGAAATTAATTTGCTTAATTAAAAATCAAATTATATGTCTTTATCATCTAACTTTCCAAAAGTGGTTTTTAGAGTAACAACATATTTGGCTGATTTAAAGCTTTGTAATTTTATGTGATGTGCAGTAATTTTATGTGAGACAGATTCAGAAACACAACCATGGGCATGTGATACTTTTTGAAGTACTTAGAAAACTTCCCCTTTCACCTCCTGCCTTTATGCCAAGATGTTTCAAAATTATAAAGTGAATTTTGGCAGCTTCCAAGTGAAATTTAAGTTCTATTGTCATCTCTGTCTTTTTGAACAATAAGTTGCAGTTACTGGGGTAGGCCTTTTATGTGAAAGGGACACACAGGCCTTAAATTCCAAGGTTCTTATGGAAGTCTTGCTGTGGTAATACATCCCTCTCATATACCATGGGCTGTTTCACAGCAGGTCATGATAATTTCATATATAGCTTTGAAGATTAGAATTAAAACCTTAAATGTGACCTACTACTGCAATAGTATGTAGTGAAAAAAGTACATCTTCGTGGCCATGCTCAAAAGTTGATGGCCACTGTTTTCTGAGTCCAACACAGATTCTCCTTCTGTAAATCTCTTTGGTGAGAAGACACAGAATAATTGTACCAAATCAGTATATTGGTACAACTAAAGCTGAATATGGCAGCAGGCTTTTTAAATAAAGATTACTGTCTGAATATGTCAGAAAAAATTCCAGCCAATTCACTGGATGTGCAATTTTAAGTAATGCGAAATCCAGACTAATATTACATTTGAGATGCCAGTTGTGCTTTTTTTGCCATTCAAAGATTTTGCTCCAGCCAAGGTAGCTGCTTCTAGCACCTCTGTGGCCACTGAAGATTTTTTTTGAGTATTTAAAAGAATTTTACATCTATTACACTCACTGTTTTATAAGTAATGCAGCCACCATCTGAAAGGTTTTTCTCAACAAAGACATGCAATATGCAGTTTGTATTTTACCCATCTCCTCTGACAATTATTAACAAATAAACTGAATGACCTGAGTTTGACCATTAAACCCCATCTTAATATTGCTATGGATTGATAATTCATTCAGAACAATCTAGCTGTGACTGTATGACCAGCCTCTCCCTGGATTCCTCAAGACCTCACAGGCCACAATTTAGATGTGAGCAAGTAAAGAAGTCATCTTTCAACAGCACATTCAAAAATTCCTCATCATCATATTTTCTCCACTAGCAGTTTATCAACATCTCCATTAGTCCATTCAACTTGCTTGTGTCAGATTCTGCAGTGTCTGAAAAAAACACTGCTTACTATGTGTAATGTACTATGCATACCACAGACGCTGCAGCCTACACTGCTGCAGTGTCCCCTGGCAGCTGCACGTGGTTGGAAATGTAACCGTGTGGAGCGTCACATGCAAAACCAAAACAGGTGACTAAAGGCAGTTCTCTGGGAGCTTCTAAAAGATTGTTAGGACCAGAGAACTCTTCAGAGGCCTCTACACATTCTACACAAGAACAGCAGAGATCAAAATTGGAAGCAACAACTATTTTTTCTCCACGTTTCCTTATGTGCAGATGGCATATGGAATGTCTTATGCAAAGAAATACAGAAAACACATGCTAACCTGCATATTCTACTTCTATATCTGCCAAAGCCCTTACAGTATTTTCATGTGTTACTTCTTCGATTTCAAGCATCCCGACACTGTCATATACATGCTTTGTCTTCTTGATAAGTTCTTCTGTTCTTTTTCTAATTTCCTCTGGTGACAGGTCCCATCTCAAAAGGTTTCGTCCTGATGCTATGTAAGAAGAAGCCTTGAGCTGGCTAGTAATTTCTGCTCCTAACGTCATTCTCAACACAAGCCGTGGCCCAATGGACCTGAAAGTACAAAAAATATCTTTTCATAGCAACATTCCAGTTCAATACACAGTTTATAGTAAACATTAAAAAAACAGCATCAGAATATTTTTAGAAGGAAGAACAAAGTCCTTTTTAGAGCTGTTATCTTTATAAATTAAGTCTAATTTTTAAATAGATCTCTCTTTTACCTTTTCCATTTAGAGTATGACTAAGTGCAAACGGGGACAAAAACTTTGGTATTGACAAAACCATGCAGATTAAATTATGACTCAACCTTCTAAGGAAAACAGCATTGCAGTTACTGGAACTCTACAGAAATAGACAGTACTAGCATTTTTGAAGTAAGGAATAAAACTCACATAGTTATTTTCAGATGACAAAGAACAAGAACTGCAAAGTTGCACAAAATAAGACATAAAAAATATCACTTGATTGTACCCATTATAGCAAATAATTTTGTATTTATACAGGATGTCTGCCACATAATCAGCATGGGAGGAAACCTAGTTGTTACTCACTTGCAAATTTACTCCTTTAATTGTGTTTGATTTTAAATAGACAGTTTCACTCGTTTACCAGAAGAGGTACACTTCTTTTCTATTTGAACTATAGTTCTAATCAACTTAAATTCAGTTGATTTAATTTCTTTAAAATTAAGCTTGCATTCAAGTAGTCAAAATTCCTCCAGTGTTTACTATCATAGGAGGACTCCTGGCTGTCAGATATTTACTATCTGTCTTCCTATTTCTGTCACGTAATTAAAAGAAATTAAAAAAAAAAAAATCACATGTTATAGTAATAATGACAACTTAAAATTTTCAACCATAACTGAAGAAATACACAGAGCTCTTGCTAATAAAGGCATGTTTACTTAACACTGTTTCACATTAAGTAAGTTTTTCTCTTAACACTAGCCATTGTACCTTTATTGATTTTATTGTAAAACCTGTCTGGTATGTGTACAGGTGCACAGAAAGGTTTTGGCATACAATGCAGGGAGCATGCATAAAAGCCAATTTTAGCCTGAAGGAATAACAAAACAGAAGAGTGAAATGACAACGATCTGAGAAGGGCTGCACACATGGCTTCTGTTTGAAGGAAGGCAAAACTTTTTGTCAGAAGTCTTCCAATTCTATAATAGAATTTCTCTAGAAGTAGCCTAACCAAAATTATTTGATGCAAGACAAAAACAAAAGACAACATTTCTATCTATGCTTTATGCTGAAACTTTATTTTCCTTGTTACCACAGATTCTTCAAATCTATCTATTCCAATGTAGGCAAGTTGTTTACTTTTCCTTTCAGTGCCATACAGAAACATCATGGCCCAGAATATTGACGATTTCACTTTGAAAATGAAGCGTGCATAAAAAACGGTTTGTTCCACCTCTGCTCTTTTTCTCTAATACCAAGTTCTGGCATTAAGGCTTTAGTAACTTCTCACTGGACTACTGAAACTTTGAATTTCAAATAGAAGTTTAGCATAAATGAAGCTGCTGTCATGAATGTACATGCTTAAGTAATAACATTCTTGGGTTAGTTTCTCATCCCCAAAATCTACTGAACTCTACCTGAATCTACAAATCCATTAAAGAACAGTACTTCATTAAGTCATGAACAGATTCTCAGTGGACTGCCCTGTGTCTAGTTATTCACATACTGCTAGCACAGGTCTGGTAAAACCTTTTGGGAAGTAAAGGGGAAGCTCCTCAGAAACACATTCATGGCTCTGAACTCTACCCCACACCACCCACATCCAAGAACATCAGAAAGACTACACAATGATTCAAACTGAAGTCAAAATAAAAGTCAAGTGGAGTCAAAGAAAAACAACAACCTGAGCAACATAAAAGTATGATGAAGTGAGGGATACTAAGCAGATACTCTTTTTAAAAAGAACCTATTGCTTTTGGTCATTCAGTATCTTCACATAGAAATATAGACAATAAAGCCCTGCCAATGACCAATTGCATATCATCTGAAACAAACACTAAAACAGTCACAGCACCAACATATTGCATTCATTTATTATTCCATATGGATTCCAAATCCATATTACCTCCAGCCTGCCCAACAAGATTTATTAATAATTAAAGTTGGACTGAGTTCATGAACTGGAATGTATGGTCTCAGATTACCAGAGAGCACAATTTTTAAATACTAAAAGAAGATGCCATCTGATTTTCTTACTATATTGGCTAGTTTAATTAAGAGATATACCTATAAACTTGAGAGCTGTATAAATTATTGGCATAAATACCAGCAAGTTGTTGACTACCTGTTAGAAACAGAAAAACCAGAACTGCCCAGTTTTGAAATGCTGATACCTTGTTTGCTTCTCCTGATAGGAAGATGCAGTCATTTGTGTAGATCAAAAATGGCAGTACAAATAAGGAAGTTTTTCTAACTGACCAAATGAGACCATGGGCCTTCAAAAACTGTACTATAACATTTTATGTAAAATCAGTTGCTACACATAATTCTTCAAATGATCATTTCAGACATGTTGCTGCCTTGCTACCAGTCACTCAGACTGTAGTAAGAACCAAAATAACTGACATCAGCTTAGTAAAAAACTGTGCAAGTAAATATATATGCACAGGCGAAATCTTGGCCATTTCTTTCATGGCTTAGTGTTTTGAACTATTTATCTACATAAAATGATAAATAAATAAATAAATTCCCGAAACTCCATGTATCAGACTGCAGTATTTTAATAACTTTGCTCAAAGAGAAAACAAAGAAACAATGCCAGGGGAACCTCTAACTTTCCAGACTGGAATATAAGTTCTATTTATAATACTAGGAACCAGATGCAACGCAAAGAGTTTCCTCAAACACTGAACCAAGCAGATACTAATATTATTCTAGACTTGCTTTTGGTTACATTACAGAATTATAGAACAGACAATTACTGCTTGCATGGAGCAATCAGAAGTTGATTCAGTTTAAATTAGATGGAAGGATGTAGCATCCCTGCATAGGCTGTTGCTAATGCCTGAACTGTTTGGTTCAAACTGTTTCCAATATCACACTCTGTTTTCTCTGGTATAGTGTAGAACTCTAGAGTTATCTAAGTAAGCCTGGTTTAAGTATAAGGTTCATGTCCTGCAACAGTATTGCTTTATCACGTTTCTCTCAGTGCTCCTCCCTGCATTGCTCATTTCTGACCCTGTACCTCACTCCATCAATGGCATCAGCACAACTGTTGCTAGGGTTATACCTAGAAAATATTCAGGGCAGCATATAGGTGAAAAATCAAGTGGACCAAAAACATCCAGGGGTGACAGCTTTTAACCAGGCAATCAGTCCCATCGCCCATTTGATGAGCGACTTCAAAACAGCTATGTCGGCCTACACAAAGTATCAGTAAAGTCAACAGTCAGTAGCAACCTAAACTTGCACTACTGCTAGAAACACATATGAAATAATGAATTTAGTCTAGCAAAGAGAGTCTTGAGATGATTGCTGCCATTAAGCATACCATTTAAATTTCCTAAAGTAAAAAAAGCTATTGATGCTAAGAAGTAATACAGATATAAGAACAATTAAGAATAAGTTGGTCAGGAATACACAAAATCTGGACTTGCAACAACAGACATTTCCAGGCATCAGAGCAGTGAGATTCTGAAAAAGATATCTAATAAGTCCTAGCAAGTAAAAACATCTCTATTTATAACATGGTGACTGACCAGCTTATAAAATGGGTTATGTTACTTGGTTACTTGGTTACCTAAGGTAGCATGGGACTAGATTTGATCTTCACAAATGCTCTTCCAGTCTCTGTGTTTCTGTGAGGTCCTTCAAATTACCAAAACTTAATTTGTATTGCATTTTTACAGTAGATATATAAAACTGGTCTCTGCTGGCAACTTGCACTGGCCTTTTTCTGGGTTGAGTCCTCTAGCATCTAATAATGTAAATGGAATGACATGCAGGGCAGACTGAAATATTTTATACATTTGTGCAATGCTTCATCCATTTAGGTGAACATCAGGAGGAAAAGCACACAAGTTTTCATTTGGACTTTCACTTATAACAGAGATTATTATAGACACAGCTGTTAACACAAATTATGGTGAAAACAGCTAATTTGCCAATCCCAAAATCAGTAAGAATGGAATTTTCTACCAAAAGCAGACTGAGTTGAATAACACTTAAATACTTAGTAGCTACTTCTAAATGAGGATTTTAAAGAATAAAACAAAGCTTCTAACTTGCAGACTGCAGTAATTGCAGAATGCCAGGTAATTTCTTTTACCAATAAATCTGCAATTTGATTAATTGCTGCTTCTGGAAAATATAAATTTGATTTTAGAAAGGGGAAGAACCTTCATAATACACTATTACAACAATACAGTGGCCAGCATGGCTGCTGCAAAGACAAACAATGCAATTGAATTTACAGAGTTGATTTTTAACCTGTGCAGTATCTTACACATATTAAACATTCATTTAAGTCTGGCTTCGCTTAGAAACATTTCCCATGGCTTAAATATGTGCCTTTGGTTTGAGTTAATTATGCTCCATTAACACTATTAAAATAAAACAAGAAAGCCACGATCTGTGAAGAAGCAGCAGGGAGCCATAGCACCAGCTTTAGAAAATACGGACAAAACCCAACATGTTTCTACTACTGAGAATCACTATATAATACAGTCAAGATTTAAGCCTGCTGTCTCATTTAAGCCTGATTACAAATTGACAGTTTTAATTCCATCAAAGACTCTTTAATGGCACTTTCAGTTTTCAAATTAATCTTCACCTAAACTGCATTAGTTACAATGACAAGTATAATTTTATGGAGTGAAGTAAATTAACTAATAAATTTCTGGGAAAAAACATATACAGACCGATTTATTGTATTTGCAAATAGATTTGACAATACCATGTAGCCACACAAAAATCAGGGTATATTGGATTCATGCAGGATGGAAAATTATATTCTGTTCTGAAAAAAGACCTGAAACAACAGCGTTGGAAAGTGAAGTGAGAGCCAAGATTTTAAAAAGTGAGGAAGACGGGGGGGATGGTGTGTGCAAATTCAGATAATTTAGTCATTGAGTTCTTAAATACTCTAATGCAAATAATTCTGTTTTTCTTGCTGGACCTTATGTATACCTTCAGAGGACATTCTTATGGATATAAGTAAGAACAGATTTGCAAATCACAACTAATGCCATGACCAACTTTTTCAATCAATGTAGAGCATGAAAAACGCTGGAGTTCAAATTCAAGAGAAACATTTTGGTCTTTCTATTTTTCGAAACAGCGTATCTTAGCTAGACAACACTTCCTGGTCTTCCAGGCTGCCAGAGAAGCAGTGCTGATGCTGGAAAGCAGCACTGTGAATGTGAAGACTGTACCCACCAGCTACCTGCAAATCAATATCCACAGAGGCTCAATGTTTTGACTCCACCTAGCGGCCTCACCAAAATTAAAAACAAAACAAAAAACTACACACACCCTTTATATTAAGGCAATATAAAAACTGACAGTTTGCCTCAGGACAACCTATTTTGTACTTGAGTAATATGCCATACATCAGAATTTCCCTGGAAGTCAGAGTTAAGTGCTACCAAACATATACAAATGACAGCAGACAGGCATGGTTGAAGTTTTTAACAGTGAAGCCTCACACAAAATGGAATTAAAAAAAAAATGAAATAAATAAAGTTAAAAAGTATTTCAAAACCAAATCACAAGTATTCACCAGCATCTAATATAATGTATATTACAGTTGGTCTATTTCACAGGATGGGCTTTATAAAAAAATTTAACAGGCTAAAATATTTGTATTATTTAGAGGGCCTTAGTCTTTGCTTGAATTCTAAATATACTTTCAAATTGCTTTCAGTTTTGTTGCACAACTTCAGACAAAAACTAATTGGGTATTTTATAGTAAAGCAATGACAAAACCAACCAAAATAAGAGAACTGGGTAGCACAAGATAAAAGTAAGAATGGAAAAAAATTTTCCAAGACAGCAGAGTTAAATAGGTCAAAGTTAATCACAGGGCAACATTATTTCAGCTAAGACAAAGAAATTAAAGCATAACCTTTCAATACAAATCATCACTTTTTCCTGCCAAACACATATGAAATCCTCTTTCCATTTTACTTCTCAGTCCTCTCATCCGCTTGGCTATTAACAGGATATGGAACAATAAATACATGCCTTGAATTCCTGGGCCATTTTCCTTGGAAAAGTATTTGGCTCTGTGTCATAACTGTGATATGGCACAGACATATCCTACTGTAGCAAAATGATAGAATGTTTAGTACTTCTTAATTTAAAGTTCCATAACTGCCATTAGAAACTGATTTTTTTTAGCTTCATCTGAAGAAATAGAAAATCTAACAGTTTTTGACACCAAACCTTAATTTTATCACTACACCTTTCAGGAAAAACCTCTCTGCAACTTAGTTCACTGTACAGTCTACATTAACTATACTTTTAGCTCTTCCAATCTAAACAAGTAAGTCAAGAAACTACAAGTCATGCAAACATTTAAAAATCTTTATTGATACATTCATTATCCTCAGTGCTCATGACCTTGCCATCTGACAACAAATGCTTATTGGTTTTCCAATAGAATAAACATCAGAAAACTAACAGAATAGGTACTCCATGGGAGCTAACAAAAAGCCCAGACCTTAAATAGGAACTCAAACCAACATACTCGAACATGATACAACTTACTTATTTCCCCTCTTGCCCCCAGTTCCCTCCAACAGCCTAAACAAAAGGAATTTGGAAACTGGTCTTTCATACTGACTTTCATATAAAGAGGTGATGTCCACACAGTAGTCTGCAGTGGAACACACAGAAATGCTAAGGTATGGCTTTTGCAGTGTCTGATCTCTAAAATTATGGCATCCAAGGTTCTAGCTGAGAAAACAAAACAAAACCAATGAACCAACTAAACAAAAACCGAACATACTCCCAAAACCCAAACCACAGATTTCTAGTACTACTAATTTAGATTTCCCAGCATCCTGTGAACTGTATCCATTGTGTGTCACAGCACACCTCCATCAAAGTAACTTACTTGCAGGATCTTAAAAATAATATTCTTATCAACACATGCATGCAGACAATAATTGTACTACACTGAGTCTGAGGCACAAGGCATTAGTTGAGATTGTCTTATTGTTTGGTTCTACTATCTGGTGAACTGTGGAAACACAGTGGGAAAAATTGCTTTTAAGGTCCTACAGCTCTCTCAGGTGCTGCTGCATAAGCATGTATAATGTTTCCATCATGACAGCCATAAACAGCAGGTGAAGTGCAAACTGTTTAGTGCTAACAACACACTCCCATGATAGCTCAGTAGTTGAATGCAATCAGCTACTGGTATGAGAAACAGTTTGTTGACTCACTCTGAAAAAGAGCTAGTACTACAGGACAGTAGACAAATATTGACAGGAGAAAATTATTGAGAGTTGGTAAACACTTTCTCTGATTTATACCCAGTGCTAATCAGTTCAGCCTCTTCCATGGAAATATGGAGGTTCTGATTTCTCGCTAATCTTGTCTCACATAGTCAAAGCAACGACAAAAGTTCCCTTGCCATCACTAGTTAGTTGTAAAACTGTGTCTTCATAGCAGATGATGACCTACTCCATCTTCTTTGCTTACCTTCTTAAACCAGTCTTCCCATCTTCTTGGGAAGACAGTGCATTATGAACATGCCATGTTTATTTCAGGGCTTGCAAAATTCCGAACACCCTGCTCAACACCACAAATTAGGAAAGGAAATGAAGCCTGCTTTCTTCTCTGGCTTTTAAGGGAAAAGTGATTTAGCAGCACTCTGCTTCACAGGCTGGTTACAGGTTATATGAAATATTGTTCCACCACAATTAATATGGCAAAGAACTTTGCTTATTTAACATTCCACTGTAGAAATAAAAAGTGTCTGTTATAGATGGTATGAAAAACACATGTGCCCAGTAATATTTTGCTCAGAAACCAGTAAAATTACCACCATCCTCACCTTCCCTAATCTAAACACAGATAACATTTACTGAAAAAGAGTCTCCTCTACAGAGAAAAACTCAGACTCACAAATCTATAGTTCAGTTAATAAAATCTATTTTATTTGCACAGACTGTTGACCAAAAGGTCCTAAAGAAACTATGCTGCTGTGAGATGAGAAGGTAGATCCTTTTGCAGGTAAATGGTTTGAAACACTAGGCCATTAAAAATGGCTGCTTATTTTTCTGAATGGAACTATATAATCCACAGAATCCTACAGGGTTCCATGCAGGGTTCTGAATTCTTTCATGTCTTTAAACCTCACCTACAAAAAGCTGGGATTAACGAAGTGACAACATTTGCTAATGATTATTTACTCATAACACAGTGTACTAAAGGCAGCCACAAAAAGATGAAAAAGAATGTCACAAGCCAGAAACATTTAAAACCACTAACAAAGTAAATTTCAGTCTTAATAAGTGTCACACATTTTTGGCTTTGCATACACAGGAGGAGATGTGAGACATCTAATCATTCTGGAGACAAAACAGTTCAACAGTCACATCAACAAAGAAGCAGCTGCAAAGAAATAAATTATAGGATCTAGTAGAGGTGGAATAGAACAAAACACAGAAATTCATTATACTGCATGCATGAAGCACATGCATACTACATGCATTTCTGATCCTCTGAAAAGTTACACATTTGTCTTCTGTTCTCCCACTTGCCAAAACCTAAGTCATGATGACTTAGAAATAATGATGACTTAGAAACAATCAGCTGCATTAAGCAATGGACTCTACTCAAAGTACAAATACTAATTAGACTGGGATTCCTCAGAGTGGACAAAAACCCAAAAATATCAAACAAATAAAACCCCAATAAAACCAAAAAATATAACGCAGCACAGAATAAAGCACAATGGAGGAAGTACTTCAAAGATTTAAACAATCATGAAGAGAATGGAGAGAATGGACAAGGATCAATTTTTAACCTGTAACTTTCAATATAACCAACAAGCAAGTTTTAGGAGAGTTTCAATATAAAAAGGTATCACTGGAAGATTATTCTTCAAGATCATATGAAAAAAACCAGTTTTGTGTTAGAAGTTCCTGATTCCTAGACTGTTCTGAAAAGATAATACTGAATGTACATATTATCTTACATATTTTCTAAGGTACCTCATCCTGACTCCAGCTGAACAAAGGTTAGACTTCTGAACTAACCCAAACTATTCTAAAGAAATCTTTCCAAGGCAGGCATTCCTTGCTTTATAGTGAGAATGACAGAACAGGTAAATACATTAACAACATTGCTTAGTATGGTCTAACTGGTGGTCCATTGGTCAAATAAAGTCCACATATGCTTGCCAGCTCAACAGCTTTGACTCACCCAGTCCAGGAAATAATTTTGTTCTGCAAATTCCGTCTAATAGACAAACTGTTGTTCAGGAGCCTGCTGTGGTTAGAAAGGCGGTAGCTGTTGCTTTTGACCACAGGAAAAATTGCTGCTGCAATACACAGAAGAGTTTATGCAGTCCACAGATTCATAGGGAAAGGCAAAAATGTCCCAAATGCCTTGTTTGGCCTTTACCATTTCTGAGGTGTCAGACCTGATACTTCAATGGAAGCAAACAGATATACTGTTGTTTTAAGTATGAAATAAGAAAATTACTATGAAATTTTTTCCCATTTCTTTGCTCTCCAGTGACTTTCCTCCTTCTGCATTTTTCCCAGCCTCAGTTTCTTGCTGGTTTTCTTCCTCAGCAAGAGAAATGACAAGTGTTCACAGCTTCTTTCCACTTTCAGTATATTGATACCTGTATATAGTACAGTATGTTGGTACCTGTCACACTCATGTACATTGATTTCCATACTCAAAACCTGATTTTGAAGATTTTCAAAGAAACACCCCAGAAATCATGAATCTAAGAAAATTATTTTAGGACACTAAAATAATTTAAATCAGTGCTTCTTCCTTTATTTTTGCTTTCATATATAAGAATATCCTCATAAAGTAAACAGACTTCTATGCTGAATTAATCTAGCTAGCTTTTTTTTCCACGTATTTTATTGCATTAAATCTAAATCTTTGAATCTTTTGAATCTGAATGGGAAAAAAAAATTTAATTGGAAAAAGCCACCTTCTGCAAAGCTCCTTTTTAACCAAAATAATCAAATCTTGACATCATTTTATTCAACGTAAGGCATAATACTTGACACTTGCTAAGAATTGTCATTTTTATCTCATGTTAAGATGCCCTCAAGAAAAATAGAAGCTGGGACAGAACCTATTCAAGATTTCTGTGACCAACTCCTTAATTTTGAAAGCTAAGAGGTCACTTTGACACGTTCAAGAATACTGTCTTTCATGAAACAATTACTTGGGCACAATGAAATGATGACTTGGGGAAAAAAAATCACAATTAACGAAGTGCAACAACCATTTCCCATTCTACTGATTTTTTACTTAAGAAGGAGGCATTGTCCAAATGCAAACTGCAACCAAAGTTAAACCTTTTAAAGGTTTTACAAACTTTCAAGAAGATTTTTCTTTAAAGAAAAACAAAAAAAACCTCATTTCCTTCTTTTTGATGGAAAAATCTGTAAGACAAAGTCAACGAGAACAGTGAAAATGACCGTACAAAAAAAGGAATGTAAATGTAAATTTGGAAAAGAAAACAGATGTGCACTTTCTTTAGCACCAGAAAATAAATCACTTAATTTTCAACAGCGGCAGGAGCCTTATGAAAATATTCTTATTTTCTATCTGCTAATACCCCTCAATCCTAATTTGACATGAACAAAGGTCGTATAAATGTCCTGTGATATAGGACAAAAAACTGCACTTTGTGCAGCAAGCACATGACTATCATTTCTCAAAAGACCATGCGAGGCAACCATCTTTTTCATTTCAGGCTGAAATTCAGCTCCATCCTCTTTACCACAGCGTACACTCCTACAGTTTCAGCGCTTGCTATTAAATGTTGTCCTTTAGAAAAATTAAGAGGCCAGAATCAAAGCATTTATGTTCATTTGTCTAGTCCACCTAGAATTGACTACAAACCTTCTTTCACACCGGTTTTCTGGGGTCCATTTAGAACTACTGTTCATTGTGGAGTAAAGAAGTAATCCCGTTTTAAAACCTTTTGACGGCACCTGATACCTGTCTCACCTGTCCTACAACGTGTAGTAGTGACACACCTTTTTATAAAGCTACAATGAGCAGTGTAGGTCTTGCTTCACGTACAGCCTGCTGCTGAGCCCACTGCTACAGCCGTATTCCTCACTCCATTGTGTTCCTGCCCATTTCTCCTGCAGCGAGTCTGACTCCGTGCAAAGAGTACCAAAAGGAGAGCTCGCCTCGCCTCGCCCATCCTGAGCCCTGGAAGCCGTGCATAACGGAGCTCACGGCAGGGAGCAGGGCTGCGGGCGCCGCTCCAGAAGCTGAGGCAATAAACCCCACAGGCAGTCAGCTTTCCTGCCCCACTGTGCGCCCGGCGCCTCGGAGCGCGCCCCGTACGCCCGAGCCAGCTCCGCCTAGGCCCGGGGGTCAGGCCCGGCTCCTCGAGTGAGGAACGAGACCCTCTCGT